TCGAATGCTCAGATACAGATACTCAGATACTTTTTGCATGTGCTCACAAGCATGTGTAGAACACACATCGACGGACCCCTGAACTGGGCTTGTTTTTGCCATATGTGATGGGGAAAAAAACACAACAAAACACAACACAAAATAAATGTTTAGGCGGACTCTGTGTGTGTCGTGAAAATCTTTGCTCAACAGAATTTTTGAATAGTCGTCAATGGATCTCAGTGCAGTACGGTTCTATCTTTCGAAAATCGAACGAAACAAACAAGAAAATATCAACTCTTGAAAGGATTTCATAGTTAAATGCTTTCGAACGAGTCAATTTGTGGATACATTTAATATTTAATATCATTGGAAATTGAGATGATTTTCCCAACGGATTTGCATTGGGTAAGCTCAGCGACATATTGAAAGGTTACTTTCAACTTTTAGTTGACTTTCAATTAAAACAAAGCAAACATTTGTACGTCGACGAGTATTTTCCATTTTCTTTTCTTCCCCTTTTGGGTTTTCTGTTGCCTTTTTTTCAATTGTTTCAACATGACTTGTGTTGGCAAATTGAATTTTCAATTTTCATTTTCATTTGAGGATTATATATTTGACTTTTGCTCAACATTCACCAAAGAGAGGCCGTTGTATTTTTCCTGCCTTTTGATGTTAACTCATCCAACCAGCAGCAGAGTCATAAATACTTGCTGTGCTCTCAACTGGCAAAAAAAGAGGAAAATATATATATATATATTTATTAAATAAAAAAGCAAACTCCTGGCCCACCTTTTCCTTCATTTTCCCCGACTTTGAGTTGAACTTCCCTTAGATTTCCAGCTGTTGCACAAAATTTTCACTTTGTGTGTTCTTTTCACTGAACCCAGACCCAAAGCGAAAAAAGTAGTTTTGTGTTTGAGTATGTATATCTGCGTATAATTAAATTAAAAAACTTTTTTTGTTGTTGTTGTTGTAAAAGTCATTGACTCAAAGGCAAAGAGCGGCTTTAAAAGTTTATTTTTACAAAGTTTAAGTGCTTTAAAGAGGCGAGGGAATATATAGAAAAAAGATGAATAGAAAAAGACAAGACTTAAGCCTTAAGATGATTAAAGATTAAGAATTGCAGAATAGTATGGTAATTATATATTACTTTGGAATTTTACTAGAACGTTGCTTGCATTATTTTAAAATACAAAACTGGTCTTAAAAATCTATCATAACTCATCTTTATTTATTGAATTATAGTACAATTTCTATATCTAATTTATAAAGGTAAAATGTATATATTCTTCTCTCTATACCATAAATAATTAATAACTTGTTAACTTTTTATGCCTTTCACCAAGCAAATTATGACTTCATTCACTAAAAAATCCCCTTCCGAACTTAAACATAATTTAGTACAGAAATAAATTGAATTCAATTTTAATTTTCGTCACGTTCTGACCATGTAAATAAAATTCCCGAAAACGTGAAACATTTTCAGGGCCTCGCACACACTCAGTGATTTTTTTGGGGCCAACGGAAATAAGGCATATAATTATGGAATATACATAAATATATATATGTAGGCGGAAATTTCTAGGAAATTTTCCACATTTTATGACAAATGTGTGAGATTTTGCATGGGTATTGCCTGATTACAGGAAGGGAAATGATTATAAATCACTCAAGTGGGATGCCCAATAAATTGGGAACAACTTGCAGATGAAACTCAATGGTGTCGATGATGATGATGATGACGATGACACATTTTGGGCTGGGTGAACGGAAATCAAAAGCCAAACTCAGCAATTATCAATTCATAAGTGTCTGAAGAGGCAGCAGCAGCAGCAGGTTCTGTGTTGGCGTCACTGGGTGTGTGTGTAAATCCATCATTACAGAGTTTTTACTGTCCTCATCCGCATCCCAGTGCTGCTGCCATAAAAGGTTGTGCCCGACCTGGCCAAGTAATTATATAAGCCCAGTTGCAGGCAATCAAAATGAAATACCAAATACCAAAAGATATATATATATTTTTTACAACTGCCAGCTTTGGCGGTAAAACTCGCAGCATAAATAATCAGCAAAAGAAAAGGAATTTTCAACAGTTGCTAAAGTTTTCACACAGACACAAACACACTCTCGAGGGAAATAATGACATGAAATGCAATCAAAATGAGGGCATTAAGTCATTGAAGTCAGTCTTACGCAAAAGGCAGCTCCACACACACAAAAAACTTTGTCATCTTTTTCCATATTAATTAACAATAAGAAAATGTCTCACAAAAACTGCAAACTTGAAATTATATGATTTTCCTTCTCCTAAAGTTGATCTCTTTGTGTGTTCTTTGTTTTCTTTTGTAAATGCATCCCTTGTCTTGCCTTGCTAATTAAAAATACATTTATTTATATTGAAATTAATGTTTAAACAAAGATAAGGTAAAGATAATTTATCTCTCACAAAGGTAAATAAGTAGCTAAACTGAAAAAGATAAGGTTTGAAGTCTTAAAAAAAGGTAAATAGAGGTAGGTCTCAGTGCTAATAAAGATATTTTTTGTACTTCTAGAAATTTCAATCTAAAGTGTCAAACTTTTAATCTATTTCCATCATTAACTTTTAAGTGACAAATCCAAACTCTAATTTGATGTCTCTTTTATATACTTTTAATTTAACTTTTAGGTAACAAATTCCACCTCTACTTTGATATATCTTTTCTCTCTACTTAGCCATTGATTTGACACACAATTCCATTTAATTTGGTGGAAAAAAATCCCAAAACAAATGCCACAAATAAGGCTAAGAAGTGCATTTTCCGTCCACAGAAAAACCTAAAAAAAAAAACTGCAACAAAATTGGTACCGCGAAATTTCGAAAAAGCAAACTCATTTCTTCATTAACTGAAATTGTTGCAGCACGATTCGTCCTTTCTCTTTTACACAGGCATACCTCTCTGTCTCTCTCTATTCTTTTCTGGGTCTAACAATAGTTTTTAATGCGCCAAATTAAGTTTCCGTTGAATTTCTATTCTGTAGACCAAAGTTCTGCCGCCTTCCCTGCGAATTATCCGGACAAACTCTTTCTTTCTTCTCCAACATTTTAGCCATTTCAGTCTCGTTTCCACCTTCTCCCCTGTCGTCTTGACCATATTGGGCTGGCAGCAGCCGGCTTTTGTCCGCTTGGAACGCGTGACTAACATTAATTTGAGCTTGAACTGGCTAAGAACTTCATTCCATTTATAGGAAATAGCTACGATGGTCCCGGCCAGATAAAACAAGAAAAGTATCTTCAATTTCAGCGTGGCTCGGAGATTTATTGCCTCGTTTCGGGCATTTGCCAGATTTTTGTGTGTGTTTGGGCCGAAAATTGTTTCTGCCACTGTTGTTGGTGCTTCCCAACAAATTCACTGCTCCTCCATCTCAATTATAATTCGATTTTCGCTTTTGTCAAATCGCAAATAAAACGACCCGTTAGCATTTTGATAGATTTTTTCATTTATTGTTTTTTGGTTTCGACAGTGGCTTTTGCCTTTAGGCATTCGAGCATCTCATTAAGTTTTCAGATGACTGCGATTCGATTCGTTTCGAGTTTAAGTTTTTGGCCTGTCCGTGGTTGGATTTTTATGTCTACGAAATATTTGACATATTTTTGGTGGGGACAAAAGGCTGTTGATTCCGCCAAAGGGGTCGTTGAATAAAGTTCAAGTTGAGTTATTAAATTGGGCTGGCAATCTCGGGAATGATATGTTTATGATATATTTAAGTCTTTAAGGAAGTTATTTAGTTACAAGTTGAGTTGTAAACCAGCTCATTTTAGTTATATTAATAGAACAAGAAAGAAAATAATTTTGGGATGGCAAAGTTTATATACCTTGCAGTTGCAATTTAAATATAGGATCAAAGCGGAAATCGATCATAACTAAGTTTAAAATAATCACCATTTGTAAATGGACAAAACAAAATTTAAAAAACTCATAACTAAGCTAAAAATGCAATAATTTCAATTCGGAAAGCTTTCCAATGCTAGTTTTAATGGATTAATAAATCTACATACTCAATTTAATTTAAGTAAATTAAAAATTGTCAATTTTTGACAATTTTAACCCTCATTTTTCTTGAAAAAAATTGAAAATTTTCGAAAATTTTTTTCTCAATCAAACTTGGCTAGATCGATTCTGCTGTTGATGCTGATCAAGAATATGTATGTTTTATGGGTTCGGAAATGACTCCTTCATATCGTTTTAAGCTTCTGACTAAATTAAAATACCCTGAAAAGGAATAAAAAGTAATAGAGATGAACTTTTAATTCATTACATATTTCCCATGTATCGTTAATTGTATTCCATCTTTCCAACCATCCAACCTTATAAGTATTTATCTATTCACTTCTTAACTTATTCATAATATTTTTTTAAACAAAACCACATTCATGGATCACTGATGTAGTTAATTTTTCAATTCTTAAAATAATCCTGCAAACCGCATTTAGCTGCAGATACATGATAATTACGCGCAGGATAAGAGCCAGGACGCGGCCGGGACGTGCAACATTTGTTAATGTAAAATATTATAACACTATGGTTGATAATAAATTGCCTTAATGCTCATAAAGCCAAAACAACAAACCGCACGGCAACAAACGGAATTTATGGCAGAGTAATGGTACAAGTCCAGAGCGGGAAGGGGAATTTAAAGGGGGTTCCAGAGGGCGTTGGGGTTGAAAAGTGGCGCAAGTGGCAGCGTTTTTAAAGCAACATTAATCATGGGCTCACGAGAGTGCCTCGCTTTCTCCCCAAGTCTAGTGTGTGTGTGTGTGTGTGTGGGAAATTGGCTTTTCCCTGCCGTTCTATTTTTTTATTTTTTTAATAATTTATAAAAGAATTTACGAGGAAAACAGCTGAGGCATAGAAAAATGCGTTAACTACATATACTCGCAGATAGAGGCACATACAAAAATATTCCCATAATTAAATTTGAAGAATGCACAATCAGCAACAATTTTACCAACTCTCTTCCTTCTCTCCTCTCAACTTTTGCAGCAATCCTTGCTGGCAGGACGCATACCGGTGGCCTCCATGACAGGACCCATTAAGCGTGGACTGCTCTGGCAGCAAAGGGATCGTCTCTTCTCACGCTGGAAGGAACGGTGAGTACACTGAAAGAAATCTATTTAGATTTATTAGGAGTTAGAGATTAGAAAAGGGGTAAATTAAAGGTTTTCCTTACTAAAAACCAGACTTTTGTATGGGATATATTATATTTAAGCACTTAAATAAGTCAATTAAATATTTTTGCTTTCAAATAAATGGTTTCGAAAGCATTTTTGAATAAGTAAGAATAGTACAAATAAAATGTACCCAATTTGAGGCTGTTTTCTATCAAATTTTCTTTAAAATCTTTTTGTGATCAGTATTTTAAGCCATTAAAGTTCATATTTAATATAAATATTTTTAAAATATAATTTATAAATGTATATAAAAGGTACCAAAAAATTCCAGTACATTCAAGTGCGGATTGCATAAATGTTAAGCGCTTTTAAATTTACCTCCACCGCAATCTGCATTCTGTGCTTCAACCAGACATGGACAACGCCTCTTTCCCCTCTCCACCTCTCACTAGGAGGGGATTCCCCCTTTTGAAATATGCAAAAATATTTCACAACCACCAAGAGGGGGTTGTTAATTGCAAACAAAAAAAAAAGGAAAAGGGGGCATAATTGACAGTGGCTGCATGCTCGTCCTTTAGCCAGATAATGCTAATAGGAGGGAAATCGGGCGAGGAAAAACCCAACCGACAGCTCTTTTGTTCATATATTTCCCAACCCTGTGCTGCATTTAATTGAAATTTAATTATGTTGCAAATGCAATTCGGTGTTTTTGTTTGACTTTCGGCTCTTTTGACACTTTTGAACCGATAATTACCTTCAACGCTTATCATTTATCGTTGCATTTTTAATTGACACTTAAAGACCAACTAAGCCCGAGGGGGGAACTTTGATGGCTAATATTTACTTTTCATGTTTTGCCAATTATCCAAAATTATCATTTAATAAATGTAAGTAATGAAAATGAATGGAATTTTTTGAGAGTTTGCCAAACAATTTTGAGACAATTAATTAAATTTTTGTCACATGATTTGATTGAAATTTAACAAGGAAAATATTTTAATTAGATAAAGTCATATATGCATGTTTTGTAATGTGTTGTAAAGAGAATTTTATTTTGTTAATGATTTCATAATAATAATCAAAGTTGAAGCACAGAGAACTATCTGCTAATCAATCTAAACTATCTGCTTATCAATGTATAATTTAAAATTGAAAGAAAATTTGAAGTGCAAACCCAAAAACCAATTAATTTAATATAAATAATGAAACAATTATTTTTGAAACCAATGTTTAAGGAGGTTTTGAATAAATTTATAGATATTTTGGCTTTTAACCGTGCTTAACTTATTTAAGAACCGATTTTAATTGAATAATACCTTATAAAACCATTTAAAACTATAAGAAATTTTAGTTAAAATATAAATTCTTTTAATTTTCATTAACCCAATATTTTCTGGAACCCCTGCGGTGTCCACTGATCAATGGCTTGATTCTTCTCCACACCCATTCTGACCAAAATAATTATTTGGTTGCATGCCTTCACCATTTACCAAGCTCAACTAATAACAGAACCGATCATTATCTACCAAGGAAAACCCCTCCTCTTTTCCTTCACGGAGCCACCCACCGAAACAAACCAAGACAGCCACAAAAGCGTTTAACTTTTCCATAGAACCAAACAACAAAACAATTTTCTTTCGCTCAATTTGCTTGACCACGTTAATAAGCAAAACAAAATGAGAACTTCCATCAGGGAAGTAAGTCATTAAACAAACCAAAAAATTATAAAGCTTGAGAACTTTTTGGATATATTTCTGGTTTCTTAAAAATTATAAAGCTGAGATTTATGTGCAGCGGAAAAAATTCGCCAAACATGAATAAAACCGATTTTCATTGCTGCAAAGCAATAAAATGAAAAAATAATCATATTATTATTATTATCGTCGTCTTGAGGAAGTCATAAAGCTTGAGGCTTTGATTTCTTTTACATCTTTTTTTTGCGCATGATTTATGATTTATTAATAACATATCCAAAATGCCATCAAAGTGGGTAAGGGCTGCCTCTAACAATTGATGGCAATTTGTATATTGGAAAGCACTTTTTGATGATTGCCGGATTTTTTTTGGCTTTGGAGTGGCTCACTGCGTTGACCTTTAACTGAAGACTCCTATCAGATATTTGTACATAAATTTAAAGGTCAAAACTCGACTGGTGAATGGATTTGCAGTGACTTAAGCCAATCTCCTCCTTATTTTTTTTACAGATACTTTGTGCTCACTCGTGACTACTTACATTGCTTCAAGAGAGCCTCTGGATCGGCCAATGAAAGGGCCTCGGATATGGGACAGTTTATCTTTAAGGTAAGTGAGAAAAGTTTAATAATAAAACATAAAATAATTACCTAAAAGTTAAGGTTTTATAAATATTTTCTTCCACTTGAGTCTCAAGATAACTCTTTTGTGTTAAATTCTATGGCAGCCAGTGTCACAGACTTATGCTCAGCATTATAATCCAACTCATGACTATATAGATTTCATGAAGGAGGGCTAGGGACACACCTTTAGTGCAACAACAAAAACCAACAAAATATGGCTTATAAATGAAGTCTTTTTCGGTTGACAATGCCAGACACATTGAGTCACGTTTTGCAATTGACTTTTCAGTTAGATAGATGAAAGATATATATGTCCGTGTAGGGGGGTCTCTATTGATAGGCAATCTTCAATTGAAATCCGTCTGGGAGTCTCTCTGTTTTTCTGTGTTTTTCTTTTTTAAGCTAACAAATCCTGATCGAAGAGGAAAGAAAAACTAAATCCAACTTTGGCTAAGCTCAACTAATTGGCTAAAACTTGCATCTACTGCATGTTAATTTGCCTAACTATTCGCTCCACTCCATTCCACTTCCACAGCTTGGATGTAGTAGGGGAATTCCCCTTCGAGTGCCTTCTCCTCCTCAACTCAAACAACTTTGCGAGGAAAAACAAAGCAAATAAGAGAGAGAAATACTAAAGGCAAGCGGACAAATATTGCACACAGGCAGCAACAAAACGCACAAACAGGAACCATTGCAAATAGCAACAACAATTCCGAAAAGCAAAAAAATTAAGTTTTCAATGAAGAAATAGTCGAAATTTAAATGCTCTATGGGATTTAGTAAAGAAAATAGGGGATTTCTTTAAGAATATGTATTTAAATGCAGAAAATAAATACAGAAATTAAAAATAGTATTCAAAGAACCTCCATAAGCGGTTTTTGTTATTTTATTTTAATCTTTATTTTACTTTAAAGCAATAAATATTTGGAAGCCCAAAAGCAGGCAATGTTTTGTGCAGCTGATAACCTGCTTTGTCATAGTCGGGGTTCCACCTAAATAGTCTTTTGAATATGAGCAATATATAATTTACTTTTACTAATTTAAGTCTAAGAAATCAAACCATTTCAAACAAAAGTTTTTAAATATATTGCAGTTTTTTGAAGTTTTTAAATACCAAAAAATGTCAGAATAATATATTTGCTCCAAACCAATTTAAATATTTTAAATACATACATTTTCTTTTTAAATGTTCCCTCTTTTACCGTTTATTTAAAGCTAACAATAGTCAGAGTATTAAATACACGATTGCCCTGAAATTGTTCATTGCCTCAGCTGATGCTTGCATTTGTTGTTGTCTATGACATTAATGTTTTTTGTAGTTGTTGCTGTTTAAACAAATAAGGAAAATGCACATGAAACTGCTGCTGCAAACGAAAGAGATCATGGGAAAATTACTTTTTAGTTTTGTTTTTTTCTCCCGTTTCGTTGAATTAAATTTTATTTTGTTTCTTTTTTTTCGTTGGCTAAAATCTCTCTTAAAAGCAGTGTCAATACACACCGGCAGCAGGTTGTTGTTGTTTACAGTTTAATTTTAAATTAAAATACATTTCCTTTTTATCATCTTCTTTTCTGGCAAATAAAACAAAGTGAAAAACGCTCTCGTTGTTGTGCGGGCAATTTTCCAAAGTAAATAAGCAGAAATGAGGGAAAAAGAAGGGGACACAGACATGGGGAGGGGAAAATAATGACATAGGTGGAACTAAATGCTGAAAAATCCCGCACTGTGCGGAAGATTAACTTATTTAATGCGAGTGAAAACATTTATAAAGAAATTACGAACAGGAATTCGTTGCGGCTAGAAAAAGAATTGGGGAAAAATTGTGATTTTCATTTGAATGAGTTATTTCTGTTATTTTTCCCAGCCATTATTAAATCAAATAAACAGCAAAGTAAAGTAAAGTGCTTGACCTTCGGGCCAAATAAATTTTCAACCCAAAAATGGTCAGAAACGTAGCAAAGACAGGCACCCACACGCGCCTTAGCGGAGATGCCAACCCTGAACGAGTCACTAAACAAAAAAAATAAAAAATAAATAATAAAATGAGAAAATACCTTTGATTTTGAGTCATTAGCAAGGCGGCATTTCATTTGATCACTTTTTATTATTATTATTATTTTTTGCTTTTACTACGATGATTCAATAACTCACCTACACAGTGTAATCACATTAATCAATTAGGCTACAAAAAGAAATAAAAACTGAAGTGAACAAGTCTCTCTGGTCTCTGTCTAATTGTTTAATTTGATTTTGCATAAATTTTACCTTCGCTCTGGCAGAGAGATGAAACGGAAAATACCTGGGGGAAATCAATCGAGCATAATTACAGGTGATGAAAGTTGGATGGAGGCTGTTACTGATACAGATACTTGCAAAGTTTTCCCGGCCTGAGAATATTTTGCAGCTTTGCACTTTGACAGTGATTGAAAGCAATATTGATTTTTTGGGATGGAAAATGTGTGGGTGGAAAATGTAGGGGGTTAGAAAATGAGTTGAGCCTGGGGGAAATGCAATTTCCGTCTGTTGAACGTTAATGAGCATTATTAATTGGGTTGCAATGAAGTGCAACTCCAGATACTGAAGCTCAAGTGTTTATTAAGGCTCAATATTAATGATTACAAATTCAAAAGAAAATCAAAGATGAATTTCAAGCATAAATAAATAAAGATAAGAAGGTTTAAGAGTGAATTTGATTCATAAAAGAACGGATCAAATATTGATTGGAAAAAGATACTAAATAAATAAATCATAAACAGGCCAAAAAAAGAACTTACTCAATGGCTTACTACACTCCCTAAAATACCCTTTAAAATGAAACCCCCATAAATCAATATTTTAAATTAATTATTATTGATATCTATAGCCCCTATCTGTGTTCATTATATTCAACCTTAAAGCCGCCACGCGTGTATTTCAATTAGACTTTCCCAAATAATAAAAAATAAAGATACTGCAATGTTAAATAAAAAATCTGTACCAGTGACCAGTGCGTTGAGCTTTTGTGTTAGTTTTGACAGCTAATGCTATTAGCCATGTCAAAATATCAAACAGCAGGCAGCAACAATGGAATTTGTTCATAAAACTCATAAATAACAATAATAAATAATAACAGGCGAGCCGATCAATATCGGCCTTGAGTCAATGATTTGTTAACCAAAACGTAAAGCGGAAATTTGGAAAATATATACATAAATAGCCAACGATTGTGGGTTGGCACATATCAGAAAGTGAGGTCAGAGTTGCAAATGGGGGAAATAGAGGTCAAAAAGACACAAAAGTTAAGAAATTTTTGAACGGGAAAAATAAATATTACAAAATCAGACAATAAAATATTGAAAGATACCAATAAATATAGAGGAACATATTGCATTCTCTTTTAAATATACATTTTCATTTATAAATGTCTAAAGCTAAAGACTTTTCTAAATGCTTTCTGCTTGTAATTTTGAATCTTTTTCTTTGATATCAGTTTGGAATATCATAAATATGTTAATTTGATGTATTTTCTTCTGGTTTACACCCACTCAGAACACTTAGTTTATAAGACTCCCAGAGAAAGTTTTCCATTTTGATCTTTGAACGCGACAAGAACAAATCTCTTCCCCGATATATTCCATATATCATAAAAAGCGATCGCTTAAAGAACTTAATTATGTTGGCCATTAGATTAAAGAGGGGAAAAAAGAGAGCCTCTGAAATGAAATAAAAATAAAGAAAAAAAGAGAGAAGGGAAAACTTACAGGGGGCCACATAACTTGGCTAATTGCCACACGCTCCTCGGCTTCTGGCTTTGTTTTCCCCGCCCCTTCCTTCCTTCCTTGCTTGCTACATTCTGGCCAGGGCCTGCTGACATATTTGCCTAATGGCCTCCACATAGTTCTTGGCCATAAGCGAGAGCACCGATGAATCGGTGGCAAACTTTAAGTTTTTACCCCATAAACAAGGCACGCAAACAAAACAGAAATAAGTTCAATAAAAACTTCCGCAATGGTGAAAAAGTTTTTGCGGTTCGCTGCAGGGCTGCCTCCTGGCCTAATGACTTTTAACCGAGTTGCACAAAATGCCCAAGGAACGAGGCCAGAACCCAGCTCTGTCACTTAATTGGTGCATTATTCAGAAAAAAGTTGTTAGAACTGAAAGTTCTTACACTAAATAAGTAGGCTGCCATTTATTTTAGTTAGTTAAGAAGCCAAATGAAGTTTATAATGTTGTAAAGAGATTCATAAACTTTATAGAAATGTATTATTTCTTATATTTTATAACCATTTGTTCTTTGTACAAGAGACCTCTTTCCCACTGCATTTTATTTAATGTTGTTAACCATTCCCTGAGAGCTTAACCTGGTCAAATCTTTTTGTTAAACATTTACATAACCTTTAACTTGATTGTCTAACCAAATTGACATTGTCTTTTTGTGGTTTTGCTTCAGGTCAAGCTGGTGGATGTGGAGAAGGTGGAGTGGCTGAATCGTCGTTCCTACAGCGCCATTGGTTTACTTCTGGGACGCGAGGGTCGCGTTCTCCTCCGCTGTGATGATGGCCTCGAGGATTGGTTCGAGCTTTTGGAGGTAAGTTGTTAAAGAAAATTTTAAGAAAAATCTGTAATTAATAATGTATTCCCCCTCTCCAGGAGTGCACTATGACCTCTAAGGAGCGACGACGAGCCTTGAAGATCGCCCAGGGACCACGTTCCCGTGCCTCATTGGCTGCCCCCGTTTCCCATGCCTCGTTGCAGTTCCAGCACTTTGGCCTGGGTGGCACTTACTCCAGTGCCTTGGATGACTGGCTGATGACCAATGGCACTGGCGGTGGGCTGGCGCGGCATAAAATTGGTGCTGGCAGTCTTAATGGCTATGCCGGTGCCAATCCCTTCTTGTTCTCCGATTCTGTACCGGATCTGAGTGCCCTGAATAATGAGAATCATAATCATCATTTGAGTGGCATTAGCACGAATCACTCGACGCCTCAGAAGATTCCGCATCATAGCAATGCGAATCTCAGTCGTTACTCCAATGGTTATGTCTCGGCCAGAATAGTTTTACCCAGGGTGGAGCTCTGTACGGTTCGCCAAGAAGGATCTTCATCAATAGTAGCTTTGGATCCAACCAGGTGGTGGATGAGGAGACGGAAGAGTCAGAGGTTCAACTGAGGCGACCAAGGTTGTTCCGGGGAGTGAGTGCCACGCCGGATAATGGCAATGAGCTGGACAGGGATTGGTTGTACAGGAAGCCAAGGGCGCCCACCGATATGAGGCACTCAGGTGGGTTTTTAATTCATATATTATTTAAAAGAGAACATAATCATTAATAAGTATTATTTGTTTTTAGTTCAACCCATGCTGCCTGTTGGCAATAATGGCAGTAATGCCGGCCTGGCCAAAACGGAGCTGGATTGCTCGGCCCATGATAGTGGCCTGGATACACCTCCTTCAACACATCGACCTTCAAGCTACCGGGAGGCAAGTCGGGATAGCACGGAGACCAATGGCAGCTCCTCACGTGGCACACTACTGAACAATTCCTCCTCGCCGGCAGGCAGTTTTCGGGCCAAGAAATTGAGTAGCCAAGTGACTAATCTCAATCAGCTGAATGCTCTGCATGGTTCACGATACTCTGTGCAGGATCAGCGTATCCTTAAGATGCGTAACAACGAGGAGGAGCGCTGTGCCTCAATCAAAATGGCCAATCGATTGAATCAGAATCATGAGCAGCAGCAGCAGCAGCAGGTGCCACAACAGGTGGCCTCCTATGATCCCAATCAGAATCGTTACTATAAGAATGGCAATGCAACGCCACCAACATCGCTGACACCGCAGCATACGCCACAGCACAAGCTGATGATGATGCATCACGGCAATGGGAATGGCAATGGAGGCACCTTGAATGGCAACAGCAATGGCGGACAGGATAGAATGAATGGTTCGGCCATTTTCAGGGAGCGTTACCAGCATCCGGCTCTGGCAGCCATCATTAACGAAGCCCAGGGCCTAAAGTTTCGAGGTAAGTTGGATGCCTTATATGGCTTTGCCTGCATCACTCATCGTTCATCCGGCATGGTTATGGGTTGGTTATGAAACTAATTGGTAGATGGAGATAATTTAATTTAAAGTTTATTTAAATTACTACATTTTTATTATTAAATTGAGTGAATACTACAATACTTAAAATAGAGATAAGGGAATGTTTTAAGTTGGGCATACTTTTTTAGAATTTTTATTTTGAATGAAAGTTTACTTTTTTGGCAACTCTGTAAACTAGTTTATTACATTATTATTGAATGGAATGAAAAGTACTTAAAATAGAGTTAAGGGAATGTTTTAAGTTGGTCATACTTTGATAGAATTTTTCTTTTGAATGAGAGTTTACTCTTTTGGCAACTCTGTAAACTTTTGTTTTAGGAAAAGTTTAAATTTGAGTAATTACAAAAATTTGTAACCGAAACAAGTTTTATTTTTATCTTATTATTTATTATTTTCTCATTTTTAAATATGTACAAAAGAGTTGTTTTGGATTTAAAACCTCTTAGTACGATTGGAATTATTTTATTATTGACATTATTATTTTATATTAATTTTATAGATAAAATAGAATAGGTTTATAAACTTTAGACTATTTTATTTAATTTTTGACTTGAATTAAAACTACTTACGTATTCTTTTTTAAGTTAGTTTATCAGAGTTTTCCTAGCACTTTAAATATTATTTTATAAATTTATTATTTTTATAAATCTTTTGTAATATTTACTTAAATATTAATATTTAGTTGTAATTGTAAATAAACCCCAAAATAAAAAAGAAAAGGCAAAGAAACCAACACCAACTTATCATCCTGCGTTCATTAAATCCATCCTTATTTTTACCTACCAAATGCATAATGTATTTTTTCCACAATTTTACTTTTGCATGTTTACAAATTTAAAGAAGAGTCTGAAAATATGTGGTAAAAAATCAACAATCAAAAAAAAAAAGAAAATAAAACCAATCTGTGCATGCAACACAAAGACAACACCGCTGACTTTGGCCACTCCCCATTGTGCATGACAAGATCGGGGAAATATATACATATATGCCAAAAAATGATATGTATTGTGCATGATAAGATCCGGGAAATATATATGCCGAAAAAGAAAAAATATATATATTTAAAGGAGATCCTTATCCCAACTTGTAGAGCGCGCCTATTCGGATAGTCAGCAGCGTCGCCTCAACAATAACAATGGACCGACTCCGCAACCAGCCTCACCCCTCGCCCAGCGCCGGAATAATGCCGGACTTGGTTCCGGAATGGGATCGGGAGTCGGATCGGGGGCCCTCTTTGGCACACCCACGCGTGTATAGCGCCTAAAGGTCTAAAGAATTAATAATCAAATCTAAATTGCGAATCGGAGGAATGATATTAGCTTCCCAAAACTAGTTTAAAATGGATTAATAAGCGGTAAAATTAGTCAACTTTGATGGAAAGATTTTGGAAATTATTTGCATAGTAAATATTAAATACTTCAACGAAGGTAGAGAATAATTATTATATATATGTATGTAGTAGTACTCTTAGTGTGTGTGCTCCAATGTCCAGCTTTATGTAAATGTTTAAATAAAAATATACATTAAAGAAATAAAAAAACACTGTGTTGGGTTTCTTTATAAGGTGGATAAGTAATACTTATGGTATAATTAGTATTACTTTATAATAATCTCTAAAAGGATAAGTAAGGTTATTATTATGTTTTATCATTTAGTGGCATATTTATTTGATACTTCGATTTTAGATTAATTTTACAAACATATATCCAATTGACTTTTTAATTCACTTTATAATACTGAAGAAAATTCCATTAAGGTTATTTAGGTTAATTAAGTTAGGATCTAAACTTTTAAGAGGCTCCCTTAATTATTAGGCTACATTAAGCCTCTCAATTGTATTAAATATTTATATGCCCTTCTAATGATAATTTATCATACCTCAGTCAAAAATGCTTTAATTTTTAATCGGAAATCATTTCTATGCTAGTTTTTGTTAGGTTAATAAATCTGCATACTCAATTTAAAATTTTATAAAATTTAAATTTTTTACATTTTTAACGATGTAATCTTTTAAAAAAATAAATTGAAAAATTATCAAAATTTTTATTTTCAACCGAACATGGCTAGATCGATTCGGCTTTTAATACTGATTAAAAAAATATATTTTATAGGGTCGGAAATGATTACTTCACAGCATAACATTAGTCCACCGATTCGCCATGCTCCGACTTGTATACTAGTAAAATTATATAGAAGAATAAATCCATAGTTTCATTCAAAAAGCTTAAATTTGTTTCAAAACAAATTTCGCGCATCTGTGCATATGATTCCCAATTGGTTCTAACATCCCCGGAACGAAGCGACTGCTGCCGGCCAAGTATCAGACATGTGTTGAGTTACAAAAGTTGCAAGTCATTGTTTATTAGTGTTCAAAGTTAGTAACTGATCATACATAATTACTGATCATAGATACTTACTAGTCAAAGATAATTACAGGTCATAGATACTTAGTGCTCATAGTTAATTACAGTTCATAGAAACTTACTGATCATAGTTAATTACTGGTCATATTTAATTACTGATCATAGTTCTATAAATCGTCCGATTGTTCCTATTTCAGCTATACATATGTATATATATATATAGTCCACCGATTCGCCATGCTCCGAATTATATACTAGTAAAATTATATAGAAGAATAACTCCATAGTTTCATTCAAAAAGTTATATTAGATTCAAAACAAATCTCGCACATCTGTGCATATAATTCCCAACGCGTTCTAACAGCCCCGGAACGAAGTGTCTACTACCAGCCAAGTTTCAGAAATGTGTTGTGTTACAAAGTTGCAAGTCATTGTTTATTAGTGTTCAAAGTTAGTAACTGATCATACATAATTACTGGTCATAGATACTTACTAGTCAAAGATAATTTCAGGTCATAGATACTTAGTGCTCATAGTTACTTAAAGTTCATAGAAACTTACTGATCATAGTTAATTACTGGTCATATTTAATTACTGATCATAGTTCTATAAATCGTCCGATTGTTCCTATTTCAGATATATATATGTATATATATATAGTCCACCGACTCGCCCTGCTCCGAATTATATACTAGTAAAATTATATAGAAGAAAAACTTCATAGTTTCAGTGAAATATCTAAAATTTCATCCAAAACAAATCTCGAACATCTGTGCATATGATTCCCAACTCGTTCTAACATCCCCGGAACGAAGTGACTGCTGCTGTCCAAGTATCAGACATGTGTTGTGTTACAAAGTTGCAAGTCATTGTTTATTAGTGTTCAAAGTTAGTAACTGATCATACATAATTACTGGTCATAGATACTTACTAGTCAAAGATAATTACAGGTCATAGATACTTACTGCTCATAGTTACTTAAAGTTCATAGAAACTTACTGATCATAGTTAATTACTGGTCATATTTAATTACTGATCATAGTTCTAAAAATCGTCCGATTGTTCCTATTTCAGCTATGTATATGTATATATATATAGTCCACCGATTCGCCATGCTCCGAATTATATAGTAGTAAAATTATATAGAAGAATAACTCCATAGTTTCATTCAAAAAGTTTAAATTTAATTCAAAACAAATCTCGCGCATCTGTGCATATGATTCCCAATTGGTTCTAACATCCCCGGAACGAAGTGTATACTACCAGCCAAGTTTCAGAAATGTGTTGTGTTACAAAGTTGCAAGTCATTGTTTATTAGTGTTCAAATTTAGTAACTGATCATACATACTTACTGGTCATAGATATTTACTTACTGCTCATAGTTGCTTAATGTTCATTGAAACTTACTGATCGTAGTTAATTACTGGTCAGTAACTTGCTGTAGAAAGACACTACTGATCCTCTACATTTAACAACAATTTATCTGGTAGTTATTATATACTTAGTAGTATATTATATAGTATATAATAAGAAAAGGTAGATTTGAATCAAATTAGATAAAAATATGTTAAAAAAACTATGTTATAAAAACTCATAAAATTAGTCTGTTTTATACTGAAGGTTTTTTCAATTACTGAAAATGTTGGTGTTTATAAAATGTATATAGCACCTTTTATTAAACATTTTCAAACATTTAATAAAATTGACAAAACATCAACCAACTTGTTGAATCTGAATTAAAAATAAACCAATAACAAAATACAGACTTCTTAAATTGGTTTAAGTACAGATGCAAATTTAGTATTATACAACTTTTACGGCCATGTTTAAAGGATTGAACTAAAGCCTGAAGTTAACCTTATAATAAGATTATCCTTTCCATAAATAAATATAGCTTAACCTTGGAAAAATGCATCCAGAGAAAAAGCTTTGACCTAATTACTACAAAACTCCGAAAATGCAAAGGATCAAGCTTAGAAAATTTACCTGAAAGCTTGAAGGATAATTGGCAGTGGTCCTTGCAAAGAAAAGCGACAAAAGCTTTATTTTGCTAAACTTTTCCGCATATCCTTTAGAAGGATGCAACACTGCGGAAAGCTTCTTCATCAGGAAGCTTCCTCGCAAAGAGAGAGTGAGAGAGGACCAAGTGCAACCCTCACAGGATGAACCAGGGAGACGTTCCTCGTTGTGCGGGTGAGGGAATGAAGGCTTTTCGGAGTCAACAATAAAATTTTCAGTCAGCTTTGAGACGCAGCAGCCACAGCAGCAGGCGCTGCAGGAAAAGCGGTCGTTCCACCACAGGAGCAGCATCAGGAGTAGAGAATTTTTTGCCCAAAGGATGCGTAGCCGCACCGAGCTGGTGACCACCACATTTGTGGAGAGCGACGAGGACGATTTCAGTCCGGACGACGATTCCGACTCGGAGGAGGACTGGCGGCCCACCAAAAAGCGTCCGGCCAAAGCAGCTGGCTCTGATGGCGGCAGGAAGCGGAAATCGGCGGCAGCCACGGCAGCCTCAAAGGCCAAACGCCGGATGGCCAAGGTGAGCGACGAGGATTCCGAGAATGACGATGACCTAGAAACGGATCCCAGCGATGATGACTTTGACTATCCATCGGCCAGTACCTCCTCGAAGAAGCCACAAAGTCTGCCGCCGAAAAAGCAGTTCGTTAAGCTAAATCAGCTGGATCTGTTGATAAAGAAATCGGATCTCTTGGATAAAGACTGGTTGAAGAACAATCGCTTGTGTTTGTGGCGCAAAGATGATCAAACGACCCTCCTGCAAAAGTATTTAAGGGTCAAGTCGGGAGCCGAGGAGGAGGAACTGCTGTTTACATCCAGTTCCGTGGTAAGTCAGTTGAATTTTATAGCAATTGGTATAGAAAAACTACTACAAATTGGCTTTTTAATTACTTATCAGTGTGATAAGACTAAAAAAGGATAAATAGATAAAGAAACCTATCAAAAATTCCCCCAAAATGGCTTCAGTTTAAGGTCAAAGTAATTATAAATGTCCAACATCCTTCTTTTCCCCAAAGTATTCCAGTTGGGATGAACAGCAGACCAGTGATTTCATAGAGGTCAAAGTTAACTGCTTGGATCCCAACAATAGACGCATTAAGCTCCAAGATCTAGAGGCTGTTAAGAAAATTTCCGAAGAGCTGCAATTGGAAAGGGATACAAGCGCAGCATCCGACAAAGAAGATGATGCCGATGAAGGCGACGAGGACAAGCCAAATGATGCTGATTAAAAACTATTAATTATAATACGAAACGAATTAACATTTTCCCCCTAGCAATTAAACACTAAACTAGTTGGCCAAGTTAGGGTTAGACACAAATCAATTTCCTTATAACAGCAGCTATGTGAACACCACTTTAAATTTAATTTAGTAAATTAAAGAAGTCAGAAACAAACCGATAAAATCAAAAGAACTTTGGTGTTTAAATTAAAAAAAATACAAAGTTGTATATAAATCGGTTTAATAGAGAAGACTGAACAATTTGCCGCGGTTACCGCCGCCTTTCGCCCTTCACAGTCTTGCGTTTTTCCTTTTTCTCCTCGCGCAACTGCTTCTGCTTTTCCCGGTCATCCCTGTCCTTTTGCTTCTTGGCCGCACTGTCCAGGCGGGCCTGTTCCCGCTTCTCCTTGGCCAAAGCCTGGACATCGGATTTATTGGTGTTCTTTTCAAGGGCTCCGCTATCGTCATCGCTTTCCGAATCGGAATCATCGTTGTCCTTGTTAACCACAGAGGTCTAGAGAAAGGAGAAGTAATTAAACGGAGGAAGATATGTCTTAACTAAGTTCATTTGCCAAGTAATTGGGGATTCAGGCAATAGGCAGGGTAACCAATAAAAGGCAGCTTCTATTGGTAGAATACATGTGCCTTAAAGCACCCAAATTCTTTAAGCAAGCTAAGTTGAATAGTAACCTGTGAGTACTGTGCCAGTATTTGTTGTTTAATGCGTTTCTCCTCCTCTGTATACTCGCGCTCCTTATTGACGGCGGGTTTGAGCTTCTGATTCTCCAGCAGCTTGGCCAGCTGGGCATTCACATCGATGTCCAGACCCTTCTTGGGCGGCTCATCGGTGCTGACATGGCTGCAAAGCCATTTCTGGAGAATGGTGGCCACCAGTTCGTTGATATCCTCCGACTGTGAGTTAAAGAAACATACTCTTAATAAGGTAAATCCTAGAGGGAGCACCTACTTACCCCCGTTTCACTGAGGATTCCCTCAAGGGCCTCCGTCTTCTCCTCTGTGGTCTCATCGCCCTCGAGTATGCCGACGATATACGAGCCGAAAACGTTCTCGTCCGTGTTGAGTTTACGCAGCTGGTCATTTAGCCAGCCCTGGAACTCCTCACTGACACTCATTGTTACTTAAAGTTTACTTATTTAGCATAAATGGAGGGTTTAAACTGGCGAGTTAAGCGGGGAAGTGGTTAATTCAACCGCAAAAGGCAACAGAATTTAATTCGAGATGAGCATGTGGCGCAGTGTTGGTAAATGTGTCAGCGCTAACAGCTGTTGCTCGTGGGGCTGCCAACTTTTGTGAAAAGGAAAGATTAACAGCAGAAAAATTAACATTTTAAGATGTATATCTATAAGAAATGCATTTTACATTAATCTTAAATACAACTTCTATAGTTTAAGTAACCTGTTTTACTTTTTTAAAGGAAATTAATTTCAGAGTTGTAAATAACTTCCAGCTGGCAATGCTTTCCGCTGCACCAGCTGTTCGTGTCAGTGTTGTAAAATACCCGCGTGTCTTTTAGTTGTTTGCCGACCTTAAGAAATCTTTACGCTTTTTGTTACAAATATTAACTTTTGTGTTTGTTAAAAGCTAAGTCAAGTGCAATCGTTGCGTTATTTAAGTCTGTGCAGTTCCGTGAACGTTAAATTCAGACCCGATGGCAGTCGCATTTCAAGTCAATCGCAAATTATAAACAAATTGTTTCGTCGCTGTACGTTCGTTTCGTGTGTGCGTTTTTTACGGGCCCTGTGCGTAATTGTGTGTGAAGCTCCAGTGTCTCAAGGTATTGGTGATTCTTCGTGTTATAATTTGCAGCATGAAAAACAACAACAAAAGCAGCTAAATAACCATAACAATTACAATTACAAAAAAAAGCAAGCGCAACAACAACGTCACACGACGTCTGCGACACCTGCGTCACATGTTGTTGTTGCTGTCGTCGCCTTCGGCTTTTGTTTATTTGTTGCTGGGCGTCGCGTCGGCAGACGCGTTATAAACAAAAAGAAAGAAGTAAAGATACAAGAAGCAAATGAGAAAAAACGCGGCGAAGATTAAATACCCTTCCTTTGCATAGGAAAACAAGAAAAACTCAAATAAAATCTTATTAGATCTATTTAAATTGCTAAAATATTGAAAATTTAATTCTTATGCTTTTGAAACCTATTAATAATGTATTTAAAATTATTTAATGTTTCTTCTGTCCCAATAATGCTCTAACTTTGCTGTTTTGCCATTTTTTGTTGCCTCTCTTTCTAGAAACCTTTTCACTGCTTTTCTTATTAAAAAAGTTGTCTTAAATTTTTGCTAAAAATGTTAACTAAAATTATGCAAATTAATATGATGATTGCCCTCTCAAAGGTGAAATCTAAAACCATAATACTCTCTGTTAGGGTATAAATATAAAACAACAACAAAAATAATAAGAAGAAGGAAAACACATACACACAGTCGTGTGCCGTTGGCAACAAGTGGAATATATACAAACAAAATTCATACACTTCTATGCTTATGTGTGTGTGTGCGGCCAGTGTAATCATAAGACGTCAACAAAAACCCTAAAACAAATAAAACAAGAGAAAAAAACGTTTGAAACTTAATGGCAGCGACAAGAAATTGCAGAAAAGATACAATTTTCTTCGGTAAGTTTCTTATTCGATTTTACTTATTGGTATTATTTTATAAGAATGTATAAGTCTGACATTTAAAAGGTATTTTGGAATGCCAAATGAAGTGAAACTAAATTAAAAATATTTGTTTTCAATTATATAGTTTCATTTTATCAGTATCAATATCTAAAGTTTTCTTCTTATCTTTAATAGTTAAAAAAACTCATAATTTAACAATGAAATGATACAAAATCCTATAGTCACCTGGACAATAAGATTTCAATTAACCAATAATTATGCCTTCTGGATGTATTTTGGCCTTGATAAGAGTTTAGAAATAACTAATAGTTATTATTATATCAATAGGTCAAATTAAAATAATAAAGTTATATTCTATTTTGTGGAAAATGGGTTTACAATTAAACCCAATTAAAAGAAGGTATTCTAATATTAGTCTGAAGCTTGAAACGCATTGAAGGAGTCGTTTCTGACCCTATAAATCGTATATATTCTTGATCAGCGACAACAGACGAGTCAATTTAGCCATGCTTGACAGAAAATAAAATTTAGAAATTTTTAAAAAATTTTATAAGGCGTTACATCGTTAAAATTATGAAAAAAAAAATTCATAAAATTAGCAAAGAAAAGCTTTCCAACTTAAAATTAAATTAATTAATAATTAAAATTAGCAATATTAATTTATATTTTTTAAATATTTTATACATATCATATCATATATTGCTTATAGTCTTATATTTCAAATAAAAAGCTAATAATTTAAGGGACGGCGATTTGTTAACACTTTGGTGTCATTAACAGCCCTTGAAGATTGGTATTACAATAAATTTCATGTTCACGTTAACGTCACTATTAAATACATAAAGTGTATATAACACTTACATTTTTATATGTTTTAAAATACAATTTATGCAAATATTTAGTACCTAATAAGAAATCCTTGCAATAAGCTGTTGCGAAAACCCAAACAATGTAAATGTTTTCTTTACCTTAGCATATCAAGATTATTATTTAATAAAATATGTCCACACAAGGACTGCTTATAGAAGACTCCTTTGCCATCTCAGTCTCATATCCTGCATAACCTTGACGTTATCCCCCAGCTTCTAGCCACCCACAAGCAACGCTTGTTGACTGTTTTTTTAATGGGCCACAACGTAGCAGGGATTGTTTATGTGGCTTGTAAATGTAAATGCGAGTGTTTTACACTTTCCAATCTGTGTGCATATTCAAGTGAGCTTCGTCACAGCTCCCCTGTGCTCCTGTGTGTGTGTGTGTATGCATAATAAAGGCCATTAAAATTAAGTAATTGACGCAAGTAGACGCGACACCCGTTAAGGGGAAGACGGTGTTGTTAACTGATTCAACCGTTTTTCAGTCACAGAAAGGAAGGAAGGAATGAAGGCAAGGGGAAAGGTGAAATGAAAACCGGAAAATGCATACACATATATATTCCGCTCTGTCAAGAAAAATATATATTTAAAGGAAAGGAAGACTAACTTCGAGAGCCAAAGTTTAAATACCCTTGCAACTTGCAATATTATTAGCTCAAAATAAATGCAACCTATCGAATCAATTCTTTAAATTGATATTCATAGATATTTTAATATGACAATTTTGTTCGAAAAATCAATGTTTAAAAAACTCATAACTCAACCAAAAAAGCATTAATTTTAATTCGGAAAGCTTTCCGATGTTAGTTTTTATTAGGTTAATAAATCTGCGTACCTATTTAAAAATTAAATTTTTTGTAAATTTTTCACAATTTTAACTCCTAATATTTTTATGAAAAAAAAGGAAAAAATTCTGCAAATTTTTATTTTCAACCAGACATAGCTAGATAGATTCGCCTGTTGATGCTGGTTAAGAATATATATGATTTATAGGCTCGGAAATTACTCCTTCACATCTTTACAAGCTTCTGACTGAAATTATAATACCCTGTAAGGGTATAAACAAAAAATAGTATATTGCAGCTTGGTCTACCTTTTCCCCCTCTGAGGGTTTCGTCATTAAATTGGAGACCCATTTAAATTTCAGCAAGCTCATAAAATTCACACGATTCATTGCTTGTTCTTTTGAAGTCACAAACCGTGGTTAATATTACACATTTTAATGAAAGTTAAGGAATAAAAACAAAATAAATAATGATATAAATAAGTTGACATGCAAATTTAAAGATAAATGATTGATATTTTTATTATAATTAATTATTGTGGGGTATTATAGTTATAAATAATAATAATAAAAAATTATATTTAAGAAATGTCTAACTTATAAACCATTTAGTTAATATAATATTATATATATAATAATAAGGATTAGGATATCAGAAATTGAGATATATTATCATAACAATAACTATTTAAAATATATCTTTTTTAACACTTTCCTATTCCTTATAATATCCTTTGTGTATTTTTTCTACCATCTCCACATCTTAATTGTCTTGAAACCCTTAAAACCACTGTCCTTACTTACCATCTGACTTGGTGGCTTTTGAGTTTTAACTGCTGCTCCTTTCAACAGCCATTTGCCATTGGTCACGCCCTCGCCCATAAAGTTCTCTTCCTGGCCACGTTTTTCTTTTGTTTTTATGACGGCTTTACTTGATGGCTTTTTGTCCTCTGCCGGTTGCATCACACCACAAATCGTTGACTCTAATTGTGGGAAGAAGCAAATTGATTTCCATATCATAAACCCCAACCAATCAAATGAAAAACGCAACAAGTCAAAAGCAGAAACAACAGAATAACTTGGCATTGAGACGGGGGGAGGAGTCCTTCAAAAAAGGGGAGTCTATATTTCATATAACAAAATCAATCCAACAATGGGTGGGCGCATTCATTTCGAGAATGCCACGGGGTGCTCCTGAGTACTTTCCTCCATTCTAGTTGGGAATGGAATTTTCCGGGACCACCCATCAAGATGGTAGGAAGGAAAGTGGCTGTGGTCTCCATAATACCCAATCCTTATTACAATGACGTTGAAACATTGTTGAAACATATGTTATCTTTGGGTTTAAACAAACTATGAGCTAATATATTAATCGTGCTTTTTGGTTTGTTAAATTTATCAAAATAATATTAATTTATTTTTATACAAAATGGTATTTAAAATAACTTTGAAGACCACAAAGGTTTGAAAAAAAAATAAGTTCAGTTCTTGAAGGTAAACATATTATGAATTTGACTTCTTTAAAAGCTTAAACCTTTTCTTAATCCTTTCTAAAATATCTCTTTAATTTCTATACTCTGTTTCCCTAAAAATTCATCTAAAATTAAAAGAAAATCCCAATTAAATAATCTTTAAGCTTACAAGAAAACTCCTCATATGAAATTCCATTTCATCTCCAGATACCGCTTGGGGTAGCAGCTAAGTAGCTCCCTGTGGCTTGGGTCTAGAAGGATTTCGAAACCCAAACCCATTTACACTCAAGAAAGAGCAGAAAGGACTCTGCCTTGGCTAAACCGTAATGTGATTGAAAAGGCTTCGCTGCCAGTTGGATGCCATGGATGCCGTGGCTCCATGGGCGGTTGATGGATTCCATTCATGGTGCCTCGTATCCACTTAACTATTTCGATGAATCGAGGGAGATGCTGTTACTGTTTGCTACTGCTGCTGCCTCTGACATTTTCATTTTGCTACAGTTGGTTAGAGTTTTCCCGCTTTTCCATAGCATTTCTTGTTGCTACATCATTGCCATGTCGTTGACAAATTGTCTTGGCACAGGAATGAGGCAAGAGTGCTGGGCTGAAAATCTTGAAACGACCCTAAATATGTGTGTCAATAAATGTGTGTTAAAAATACCGCTAGAGATGGGTCATGGTGATATATGGCCTAAGTCCTGTTGCGCCCGGAATCCTTCGCAGCTCACAAACAATTTTCAATTAAGCGCACAATCACGATAAATAAATCTCATTGTGCGCAAAAAGCCAGAGTTTCATTCTACACGACAAGTCTTGGCCTTAAGTTGGCTTTTCCTCTTGTACAGCAATTTTCTGCGGTTGGGCGGAAAAGTGCACAATAAAACTCCACCCAGGTAGCGACTTCATCTGCAATCTTTGGTAGCATTTTCCTCTAGCTAACACGCTTTTGCTTCTAGCTGCCAATGCTAATGCTCTTCACGGGTTTATATGGGGAGTTTGGCCAACATGAATCATACAATTAATTACCGGGTTATGGTGTGAATCGCACATAAATTAATTATATACTTCACAAAGCGCTTAAGCCGTTGCCCCATAGCCATACAGCTTATGATTAGACATTGTTTGCAAATGTACCAAAAAATAAGAAAGGTGAACGGAATTAATATTAAAGAAAAAGCCATTCAATGTCTTAATTGTAGGTAAGGAAATCATACTTTTTTTGGAAGAGTTTCTCCAATTCAAATTATATATACAGGTAATTAGAGTAAGGTTTTGAAGATATAAAGGTGGAAAACTTTTGAAAAGCTTATCTACAATTATATTTTTAGATTATTTATATTTTAAGAAGCTTGAAAATAGGCTTAATATTTATAGAAAATATGTTTAAATATATACCATTTTCTTATAGTTTTTAGAGGTAAATTTTGTTTGGGTTTTGTAGATGATGAAATAAATTAATTACAGCTTTAAACCTCTTTATTAAGGCTATGTATAATTTGATTTAATTTCTTTTTGTCACAGTTTAGAACTCTTAAAAAAACGTAGAAATATAATAAATATTTTAGCTAGAAAATATTACATAAATCATCTATATTTTTATATCTTTAAATAATATAATTAAGTAAGTGAATTCGCAATTCGCATTGCCTTAAGACACTTACTCAACTTGTTTATGTTTCATTTCCTTGCCATAAATTCTGCGGTCGTGAACAGAGTCAAGCATAGAAAAAGAAATTGAGGCATCCTTCAGGTAGTAAACAATATGTTTTTATAATATTGATATATATAAAGCTTAAATTGCAATTTACGTTTTACAAGAAAACATATTCTCTAAGCTGAAATATATATTTAGCAAAGTGTGTGGTCAAAATTGACAGAATAAAACCTCAAAATTAGCTAAAGATGAGAAGTATAAAAGCATATTCAATCAAGCGAATTTGACAAGATTTCCGTGAACTAAAGTCAGGCTTCTAATGTATAGATGCTTCTCTTCCCCAACCCTCACAAATTAAGAAAAACCCTCACAAAAAATAAATACGAAATATAATAAAACACACACAGAGAGCCAAAGTTGATTTTGCAGGAGGAACAGCATCTCTCATCTAAAGTAAATAATAAATCAGCAAACGAGACTATATATATGAAAATGTCTGAAGCTGTACATAAGCTGAGTCCCCCAATTCGTTGTGAAGATATCCAAACACACAAATATCCATAAGATACGTTGCTGCAAAAGAATCTCTCCTAAAACTTACCTATAGAAGATTTAGTGGCTTCGTCTCTTCTGTGCTTAGGTAGCTCAAAAGGAAGTAAACAGGATTTGAGCTTTACCAGGAATCTTTTTGTGTTTTTTCCCCTGTTTTCATTGGATTTTGGTATTTTGCTGTGTCTTTAACCTTTCGGGCATTAGGTACAAAATAGTTTGATATCTTTTCGGTGGCTTCCTCTCTCTCAGGTCTCTCCGTTTGTATATTTACTTGAGGAAATTCGATATATTTAAATATGTATATTATTTTATGGGGTCTTTTTTGCTGCTATTGGCGCTCCACGCCCGGGGGTTCTCTTAATAAATTCTGTGAATTTTAATAAATGATAAGACTTGTGTAATTTGAAGACATTGTACATAATTTCGGGTGATTTTTTTTGTTGTTGTTCCTCTTCACTATGTGTGAGAATATTTTAGAAAATTTAATGCATATGGTGTGTGTATATAGAAGTCAGTCACTTGATGCCCTCAGTTCGTAGAATTTTCTCTGAAGTTGAACAAGGGTTTTTTTGCAAGTGAGCTTAGAAAGTTTATATGTACTTAAAGTACAAAGTTGATTATATAAAATTTGTATATTATTAAAGCTAATACTTCAAGATATTTGTAACAAAAACCTTAGATAAAAATGTCTATTTTCCTAGGAAAAAATTACGACAAGATAAAACCTTTTTATACCAAAAATATTCCCTTAAATCCCTTCCATCTCTTACTTTAACTCATTTGGAATTTTTAATTAAATTTCATAAATTTGAGAAAGGAAAAAAACACCGACAATTTCCATGGGAATTCCATTTCACATTCAATCAATTATTCATTAAAATGCACTTTGTACTCTGATTTTATGGGCATTTCCTATTTACACTTATCGTTTTGTTTTCGGTTTTCATTTTGCATTTCGCTGCTACAGTGGCTGTGAGCTTATTTGCCAGCTTTCCATGCTTTTCTGCACAAGTGAGCAATTATTTGTGCAACATAATTAAAATTTTATTAATTCATAAACAAATGCGCAGAGAGCGTACACAAATGGGCGAAGAAGGAGAAGAAGGACTCTCGCCTGCAGTTGCCTTTCAGCACTTCATCAACGCCAAATGTTGTTGCTGCTGTTGTTGCTGCTGCTGTTGTTGTTGTTGCTGTTGCTGCTGCATCATTCATAAAAAATTCCATAAATGCAGACACAACACCAACATCAGCACGTAGTAGAGTAGCTGCCTCTCTTTTCCACCTGTTCAAGTGCACTGAGCGAAACAAAGATATATTCTGTAAATTATTAAAAAGAGTAATTTAAAGTGTAGAAGCTTAATGCTTTTATAAAATCTTAAAATCTGTAAATTTAAAACGATCTTAACATGATATATTATAATAAGACTTTAAGGGGTTTTTTATAGAAATTAATTTCAAATAATAGTAGGTAGAAAATTGATAAATAAAAATGTAAAAACATAATATTGCTTTTATTTTGTTTATTATATATTATATTTTTTTATTTGTAGATTATATCGAAATTTCTCTAAAGGTCTTTTTTTTCTACATGTTATACCAATTATTTAAGTACAATACCTCATTGCATATATGTATTTTCCATACGCTGGTGTTTATAATTCCCAAGTGCTTGTTCATACCATAAATTGACAGCTTTTAAAGAAGAAAATAAGCTTTGAAAGGCTTTCTAATTATTTCTTGGTCAATAAACTATTTTTTAAAATTAATTTATTAAGATAAGAATGCCGAACTATTAATTACTGTGTTTACAAAACTTATCTAATATATTTTTATTTCTCACAAAATCAATATTACTTATTTATCACAAAATCAGATAAAACTAATATTAAATAGGTGTTTTGTAATATTTGTCATAAAACTTCATAATTTATTTTACCCTAGTAAAATTTCCCTAATATTTTTTGTAAATTTTAATCCGTTTTTCTTAGTGCAACATTCTCACACTTTGAACCCTCCCCTTTGTCCCACGGCTCACCTTTTCCAGCAGCGCCTCGTCACCTTGTCAATTTTACATTTGGAGCACGTGTCGCTGCTCGTGTTCAGATGCTGCTTCTACCTTTACCTGGTGGCACTGGGAATTTCTTCCTTAACTCTAATTAAAGAGCACTTCACTCAGACTTCTTGAACAAAATGAGTAACTGCAATAAAGAAAGTTTTAACCCTTTTGTGAGAGTCAAGTTTGTTCTTAGTTTGTTTTTATTTTTTAAGAAAAGATCTAATTAAAATTTTTAGTTTTTTAAATATTTTGTACATTTAATAGATATTTATTTAAAGGTCGAAATAAATATCTTTATGATTGGTATCTTTATATGAGCTTCAGTGTCATATGACTGGTTAATTTTGATTAAAAACCTTTAAAAAGAAACAAAAAGAAATGCACAATAAAAAAGAGTCGTTTTTTCTATCTTTCTCTGTTGCAACACCTGCCGAATTGTGGACATCAGCATAAAATAGAATCCAAATAAAACAGAACAACCAAAATGTATATAAATGTGTTGAATATAAAAGCTCACAGCTTACACAAATAGGGAGCCAAAGAAATGCATATACTGTACAATATAAAACAAATAGAACGGGCAAAATATTATCACAATAAAACATTCAAAAACAAGTGCAAAAAAAACCAAACAAAATCGAAACAAAGCCATGTGTACTGAAACTTAGACAAATATGAATTTAAGCAAATATAAAAAGAATAAATATTTGGCAAATGCCAAATGGAAACTTTTGTTGGCGAAACATTTTTAAAACGTGTGTCGGTAACAATAGTAAAAAATATATATGTTCAAAAATATAACATATTAATAAATGTAATTTGTTAATTAACAAGAATTACATATAAATTTCCTGAGGTTTTGTAATGGTTAACCTATTTGTAGATTTGCTTTTTATTTTGATTATATTTTTGAGCTGCTATTTTGAAATTGAAGTAAATAATTACACCTCCTCTTCCTTTCACATACTATAAATAAATACACAACTAATATATATATATATAAAAAACACTGTTCAATGTTTTCCGCAAACAAATCCAAGGCAAGGGCCCTGGCAAACAAAACAATCGACAACAGAAAATAAAAAATACAAGAAACCTCACAGAAAAAAAAATACAATCAAATTCGCATGAAGTTTTTGGCCAAACACCTTCGTTTTATTTTTTTGGGTTCCCAACTTTGGTAGTATTTTTTTTTTTGCTTTTTGTGGCGTGGCTAAAAAAACCTAGGAAACTTTTGCGGGGGGAAGACACACAAACACACACTGAAATTTATGGCGTCACGTTGGCAACTACTGGTTTTAATTTTTATTTTTAGAGCCACCTTTTGCCGCGCTCTAACAATTCACGGCTTCGTCGCGGACTTTTTATAATTGGTTTTTTTTAAATTCACTTCTTTTTAGTTGCTGCTCCTACCTATGAATTAATAATGTGGCTGAATCAGCTCAGGTAAAAGTTAAAATGCGAAATAAATCCAAATTCACAGATGATCAACTCAGGTGGTCGGCAAGTGTCACCAGTTTTCCTCAATTCATCATTGTTTCTGTCATTTTTCTTCGGCTTTTTTTCCTCTCTTCGTTTCTAATTGTTTGCAACATTAACGAAAAGCAAACATGGACAAAAAATACAAAAAAAAAAAAGAAAATGGCAAGTATCAAGTTTTTAAACAGTCAGCAATTAAAGTACCTCTTTGGCAATGGTTTCTGCTGTTGGCCAGGCCATTATGTGCATAAAATTATCAACAACATTAGGTGGTAGGGGGGGGGAGACCAACCACAACTAAACAACAAAACACTAAATGTACAATTGTCATGCATAATTACGGCTCGGAAAAGTCCAAGGAAAATCTCAAGTGTTGACAAAGAGTTAACGGCACAAAAGTGTTCAAGGGTTTCCAAGCCAGGTTCAGGGGGCGAATCTTAAATTGGCTTGCCAACTTCTAAGCTTAATTTTATATAGTCAAGATGGTAGAACGTTGGATATAGGAAATGGTTAAAAAAAAAAAATAATAATAATAATACAAAATGGAAAAGAAACAGAACTCCAAATGATGTCATTGGCAAGGGCTGTTAACTTCATTTTCCTTTGAAGTGTTTTTTGGTTTTTTCTGCTTTAGATTTTACACAAATTTCATAGATTATAACAATATTAATGTTGAGATATAAATGGAGTAACGAAACCTTGAAAAATGATAATAAATTTTAAATAAATATCAAAATTTGTAAGACATTTTTTTGAAATCTTCTAACTTTATTTATTTCTTCTTTATTTCAGGTCCTATTTGTTAATGACATAATAGAGTTTGGGTGAGTTAAAACAATAAATATGTTATCTAGAAATTAATGTATATTATATAAATATTAATATTATGTATTTTTAGCATAGTAAAAATAAACCAAAACATTTTTTGTACAACTTAAACTTATTTCTTCAGAAATTGTGGGACTACATTTCTATGACTTGTTTTATAAATTACTTAAACGAAGAAGTCCCTAAAATAACAATTTAAAAATATTCATTTCTATGGAAATTATTCGTTATTTATACATACATACATTCATTCAATATTATCAATATATGTAGAGATATGAATATTTAACATTTTTAAGAAATTTAATTTCATTGATACAAAATATCTTAAATATGTTATTTTTAGCAATTATATAGTTTTTCAAATGAAGTCATCGATAATTTATCGATGCGAGTCATCGATTTAAGTCCATCATCCATTTAAACTATCTACATTTTCGATATATTACCTCAGATATAAAATCAGAGTAATCCTTTTCGATTATTTCATAATGATAAACAAAATAATTAATGATTTCTTGTAGTTTTTGTGATTGCACATTTAATTTATTTGTTTAGTTATCTTTAAATCTTCTTTTAGCTTTGTTAAATAATATTTAAAAAAATATCTAATTCAAAGTTGTCATATTTATCGCTCTAAGCTCTCAACATCCGTGCAAACTGCTAAATAGTTGCATAAATAGATAACAATCTCAACTTTAATTTATGCATCTTATGATTATGATTGCGATTAAGAAAACAACAAAAGAGAGAGAAATGAGGCGGATCAAGACTTTAGTCGTATTTAGACAAGTTTAGGCAATAAAATGCATTCTTTTTTATATGGAATATAAGTTGAGCGCAAAAAAAATATTCAAAACAAAGTCGCACAAAAAAAGTAGCTAAATAGCCGCTGCGTATACATACATATATGCATCTATATCTATGTATCTCGGTAGGTAGCGTTGTAGGAACCGCTCTCTAGCTATCTCTATAGCTAGAGCTGCTATTGAAATTGAAGGCGACATCGTCGTCGCTGAGCTTTTCCAACTTTTTCTGTTTTTATTTTTGTTTGTTTTTTGTGAGCTTAATTCGTTTTTTTTTGCGCTACAAAGCTACAACGGAGGGAACTCTCTGCTCCACTCTTCCCCCGCTCACTCCCCCCTGCCCCACTGTTCGCTCAGCTCTTTCTACGCTCATCGCTTTGGCGCTCTTCATTTGCGGCGAGGCCCCAAAAGAAAAGAAAAAAGAAACACAACATGTGTTTCGTCATCAAAACTCTGTGTTTTGTTGCATTTTCTTTTGCATTTTCCCGTTGTCTTTTTAGAATTTAGAAATGAGGAAAAGACAGTTTATAGTAAAGGAATTTTATAGAATTTTAACATAAGAAAATATATTTTATTTTAAAGAAAACTTTAAAAACAGTTTATGAAAAATGGTTCTTACTCTAACAAATTTGTTGTAATTCCAAAATATAAATATTTCGATTATTTCAAAAAAGCTTTAGCCGTTATCGTAGTTTTTTTATTGCTTCTTTTTTTAATATGTTAGTTTTTTTCATATAATTGTTTTTTTCTTAATATTTTTGTAGTTTTAAATGCTCAAACAAGCTGAAAATTTTAAACGTAAAAAAAGGTAAAACACGCTCTTCCCAAGTTTTAAATAAAAATATTTAAATACTCTCAGAAACGAATTTCAGAATATTTAAAAGCTAGGATCGTTTTTGTTTTGGTTTTCAAAGAACAGTCGCCATTAAATATTTGCAAAGACAGTGCTAAGAGCAATTTACTTTGCTCTTTGTGTTTGCTATTGCTTTTGATTTTGCTTTTGTTTTGCGTGCGGTGGAGCTTAAACGAAAATGCCGGCACTTGGTGAGGTGAGCAAAAAGAGCAGCAATATACCAAAGAGAGGCCAGCGGACCCATCCCCAGTGATGTCATATTTATCTGAAAAATAGCCAGGAAAAAAGCTAAGAAAAAAGCTTCTGATAACAAATAATTTATTATTTGTTTTTGTTAAAACATCTTTTTAAATTGAAAAAAGAAAATAAAAGAAGCAAATAAGTCTTTAAAACACTTAATCAATTTCGAGTTTTTATTATTAGCAAATTGACTTCTTGAAAAATCTTGGCTAGAAAATAACAAACTTTACAACCTTAAAAAACAAAAAAAAATTCAACCAAACAGAAAATGTAGTAATATTTAAATTTATGACAGCTGCTTAAATTTGCCTTAATTAAATATATATGTAATTACCAGTACCTGGTATTTTCTAACCTTACCCGCAATAACACTCCTAGAAAAACCCCAATCTGACGGAAAGGAAGCGGAAATGCCATCACTGCCCGTCTCCCATCTTGACACTTGACACAGCGGGCCAAGAGCGAGTGCTAAGAGAGAGAGAGTGGGAGCGCAAGAGAGCGAGCGGGCCAGCGCGAAGCACGTCACACAGCTGGTGGATATCCGTATCTGTGAGATGCGTATCCGTCAGTTCGAGTTTGAATTTCGTTTGGTGAGGTTGCCTCTGAGCGGTGCAGCTACAATCGCTATATATCCCACTGTGTCGACGTGTCTCCCTCTCTCACTCTCTGTCTCTCTTTGCCATCTCTCTCGCTGGCTCCCCCCGTTCGCCGCGCGTGTCTTGTTCGACTTTATTTACCTTTTGGCAGGAATTAAAACCCACTAAAATCAACTGAAAGTCACAAAAGTGTCGAAAAATAGAAACGAAGGAATAAAAGAATTAAAGGAAAAAGTTGGCGCAGCCCAAAAGAAAATGCAAAAGAAAAAATAATACGAAAGAAAGAAAAAGCAAAGCAAAGTGCGCGTGTGTGTTTATGTGTGCGTGCGGGCGTGAGTGTGTGTGGCATGAGTGCGTGTTGTTTTTCCTTCGCCAAAACAAAAGTATCTTTCCGATATGCACAACAATTAACGCAGAAAACGAAAGAAACTAAAACCGAATAATTGGTAGCTTGTAGGGTTTATTAACAATTTCGGAAGATTAAAGGAAATTTTTCTTCGTTTCGTTGCGGAATTTTTTGTGTGGCTGTTCCATGGCCCCAAACGTTCCGGCTGGCGCTCTCTTTCCCCAATCTCTCTTATTGCCTTTGCTTCGGCGGCTCTCTTGCTCTCTCTCGCTCTTTTCCTCTCTCTGTCTTTCGTATCGCTTCGGGTTTCGTAATTCAATTGTCGGCTCGTTTTGCCATTCGGTTCGTTCCGCCAACGTATCTTTATTTATATTTTGTTTCGTTTCCACACCATTCCCTTAATTGCCCACCTTTTTTTTATATTTTGGAAAATTCAAAATACAAAATACAAAAAATTTAAAATTCCCTTTGCTAATGCCTTTCTTGATTATTCTCGCCCAAGCAGTTTCTCTAACAAAATACTATATGATTTCACACATAGTATATATATATTTTGTGCAAAATAAAAATACAAATAAAAACCATAAATAAATTCAAGCTAGCCTTGGCAAAATCATTGAAAATAAATATATATTTAAAATAAATACATAAAACAAAACAAAACAAAAAACCATAATCGACATAAATATAAATATATATATTTATATACACAACGGTTTCACTTTGCGAGTTGTATACAAAAAAAAAGGAAAAGCAAAATAAAATATAAATAAAAAATATAAAACAAAAGCGATTTACAGTTATTCAAAGTGTTTGAAAAACAAGAAAAAAAAGTGCAAATCAATGTGAAAAATCAAATGATTGAAAATATTTAATAATTATCACTTATAATGCCGCCTAACAAACTAAACAAATATGGATTAACGCATTTATTATAGATTTTAATTATCTATGGGATTATTACTTAAAATCAACGGAGAAAAAAGTTTGATCAGTCAGCTTTTTTGATTAATTAACTGAAAGGTAAATTTAAACATAAATGGGTTATAAATATAAGTAAAAGATATGTAAAACTATAAAAAATTTAAGAAGATTTTACATCAGGAAGAAATACTTAAAGTCGTCTTTAATATTTTATATTTAGCCAAAAATGAATGAATTAATAATACAAAAAGTAAGGAAGAACAGTTTGTTTTACAAAGTGTTGTTGCTACAAAGTATATACTTTTGAAATATTTTAACAAATTTTAAGCATTAATTCATGAAAATGTATTTGTAAAAAAATGTTTTGTAAAACAATAATAAAGCACTTAATTTAGAAGAAACAATAAAGAAAGATCTGACGAATATTAAATACCCAAAAGTGTGCTTACAAATTTACTTACTAAAAACAAAAATTAGTACAATAAAAGATAGAGTAGTTTTTTTTAAGGTTTGATAAAATCCTAGCTTGAATTTGATTTATAATGTGATCTTTTATTCTTTTTTAATATTAACTGTTAATTCAAAGTATTCTTTTAACTATTCTTCTAATATAAAAATTCAAAACATATTTTTTGACTAAATAAAAAATATATGTATATTGCATTGTTGAATTCCATCTTTTCTATAAAATATTTTTTATAAAATATACTTCTAAAGAAACATTTTAAAAACTACTTGTTGACTGCATAAAACCTGTATTTCTTTGTTTTATAAATTTATATGGAAATTCTCAATACAATCTCTTAACTGATTACCAATAATTTCATAATTTCCAATGTTATTCCCATTGGTGACTCAGTCAGTAGGTTTTTATAGGCCTTCGAATGACCAATGCATTGTCCCTTTGATATAAACCAGCATTTCGTCAAGAGAGTTATCGCTGACCGAGGGAAATAATGATCGTAGAACATATAGTATGCATTATATATACATATATATGTATATATGTAGAAGTGCAGGAGGTCGTCGTTGGTTGATTACATAACAAAACGTGAGTAGAGGCAACGCTCTGCCTGCTGCTACTCGGTTCAGTTAGAATTCTTTTGCTAATACGCGAGCAAACACTAACTCCGATGTTTGTCGTTCTCTTGGCGGCAAACAAACACAGACCCAAACCTTCAAACTCAAAAAAAAAAAAACCGAGAAAGAAACCCACTGAGAAACTGAGAAA